ATCAATTACTTTTACGAAGACTTACTCCATAAAAAGTCGATTAATCTTTTAAAAAGACCAGCATCGATCTAAAGTTAAGACGTGAATAAATGCGGGTCTACGAGAACACGATACGTCATATACAGGTGTTCGATGAACGCGTAGGCGGAACAGTCCAAACATTTCCACGATTTCTTTTCCTTCCAGTCCTCAATCACCTACCCAAATAAATTTCCCTTTCAAGATCTTGATATGCCTCAACCATATCTAATTCGAATGACGATTCGTCGCCAGTGTAATAGAACGGTGAGGGTTACTGTTGCGATGCAAATCATTGATTACAAATTAAAATTGCTTTCGAAGCATGTCTGAACGAAAAAGAGAACAAGAAAAAGAACAAGTGAGAGGAGAAAAACAAAAGGGGCTTGCAATTTCATTATAGAAAATTTAAATTCAAATTTGGTGAAATGCAGAGAGAAAGATTGCATTGCCCGCAAGCATTTGTGCAGATAGACGCGTGGACGAGTGAGCGCGTGTGCGACCACGGAAAATTATAAGGCATGAAAAATGCAAAATGCAAATACCGAACAGCGACGTTCGTGAAAATGAGCAAAAAAAAGGAATGAAATATCCGACATATGCTAGACGAAATACGCGATACGCCAAGATGCGTAACTTGTCCGTGTTATTTTACCTATATTCCTTTTCTTGTAATGTAGCTATCAACGTATACGGGTGCATCAAGCGTAGCTGCTCGTGACAAGTCAAATGTAGTTCATATGTAACTTGACGTAGATATGCAAATATATACATGGAAATAGAAGAGAAGGAAAGTAACAACACGAAAAAGCGCAATAATACGCTATGTAAGAAAGCGTCCTTTCTTTCCTTTTCCCTATTCCTCATGTATGTAGTTAGAAACAACAGATGTCTTCAACGAAGTGCAGTCAATAGCAGGTAGAATATTTTTACTCGTTCGCAACTTTAATTAGTTATTATATCCACATATTCCATAAGACTATATGAAGAAGAAAAGGCAGATAAGTCTAAATTGTTGAACTTTCTCGCATGTCATGAAACGGATAGAGAAAAAAGATAGTCACGTAATCGCGTGAATCGTTTTCGAAGAACGTAGGTGGTGACACGTGTCTCTACCGATGATGGCACACGCTAGCACGATAAGCCATTGTTCCGAGGAATTTGAAACTCGTGCTGATGCGGTGCAAGCTGTGGTGTGACGACTGGAAAGTGGCTTATCGTGTTGGACGATCGCGAAAATGCCAAACGAAAGGGTAGAATGCGCGCGCGCGCGCGAGTACAGAAGCGAGAGAAGGAATGCGCTAACATCAAACTCGACCCACTAATGGAGCTTCCACGTTTAAAACGTACCCACGAATGACGTTGCATGCTCGTTTCTTCTCCCTCTATCTATTCAAGTCTGCGTCTGCAAAAAAATAACTTGTTACGCGTTTGTCGACTACCGTCTTCCGTTTACTGGAATCCTGACAAACATCCTACTCCGATTACCCTTCTTTCCCTCTTGCCGACCACACATCTCAGTCTCATCGTTTATCGTAACACTTACAATTCTTAATAGCTCATTTCCTAGTAACGGCTTTACAGCCTGATCAAAAACTGACCAAACTATTTATCGTATACTTTTCACTTTGAAGATATTTTTTATCTTATTGGATAAATATATCGCTATTATTTAATAATCTATATATCGTTTCGTCTTATTTTCTCATATAGAAAAGAACAGCCAATGATATCTTTATAGTCGTTCAAACGACGAAAAGAAAGCATATGTCATCGAGGAAACTATAGTTGATACGAAAGAAACAATGACGCTTACATATCGAATCGTAAATGGATTCAGAAAGAACGAAGTGAGTCGTCTGCTGTTGACAAGTACCCTTTAGAAAGAAAAAAGTCGTTCTATGATCGTAAGAAATTGACTCAGAGGAAAGACGATTCTCAAGAAGTATAGTAGAAGACGGGAAAGTTAGGAAACAGGGAAAATGTTACGTGGTAAACAGCTACGAGAACGATAGTGGAAAGACATCGTGTGGGGACAGTTGTTTTGGCCAAGCTTATTTTCCGGACAAACGGTCTCGAGGACTTCGCTTATACTTCGAGAATCGACTTATATTCTTTCTCTTTCCAACAAAACAGAGTAAAAACGAAATGGTCTCCCACTTTCGAGTCTCATACTGTAGGAAAAATAATTTACCAAAAATATGTGATCTCGCATTGCAATACAAGCTATCGTATGATTTATTCTTAGAGTAGATGCGAATACTTTTGCGAGACCAATTTCTTATCATTTACAAAATTATTTTTCTCTTACAATGTTCTTCTTCAATTAAATTAATATCGATTAGAAAGTTGAATAATCCTAAAATAAATATCCGTGTATTAGGATTTTGTATTCGAAAAATTGGGCTTTTCGGTAATCTATTCGCGATGTATCTTTTTTTAATCGAACTTCTACTGAAGACAATAGCCTATTGTGATTTGTAAATAAATTGTAGACGTCTAGAGACAGTCTCCCTCTAAGCATTCTCAAAGCATTATCGAACTCGATAGCAACAGTATGTATTTGTGTATGCATGTTACGTATGCACGTATACATGTACGTTAGAACAACGTGCTCGCACACGATGTATATTTTTGTAACGATCTTCGCGAGTATTCGGTATTAATCACCACAGTCCATCTTCTCTCTCGCATCGCTGGGAGAACAACGACAAAGAAGAACCAATCCAAATAACTAACGACACCATTTCTCTATCGTTTATATTTTTTTATTAGCAACGATTACTTTTGCCCGACTTGAAAATGTAATACCTCTTTGTTCGATTTAAAAATTCATCTCGTTAAGCGTGGTCCAGATTCAACGTACCGTAATATCGAAGTAGAGACGAACTTTCAAATGCTTACAGCTTATCACACCTGTGCTCGTCCCATGGTACCACGAGTCTGATATCGAGAGAATCGATCCCAATCTATTTATCTCTCGTGCTTTCTCTCTCTCACTCTCCATCAAGTCTACTTCATTTTGAAACCATCCACCGACGATTTGGATCTAGAAGACTCGTTTACTGCATCGCTGTTTCCAACGTGCATCTATAATTTACACATCCATTATATTTGACTTTTTCTTTAAAAAGCAGCTCATCAAATGCACAGCTTTTACGAGCTACTAAGCTCCATCTTTGACGCTGACTCAAACCCTCATAAAATTCAACGTTAGGAAAGAACAAGAAGGAGAAGAGGAGAAAGAAAGAGAGAGAAAGAGAGGGAAAGAGAGAGAAAGAGAGAGAAAGAGAGAGAAAAGATAAAAAGCTCAAACGGTTCGGTTGGCAGTCAGAATTCTCAGAGTCAACGCATGCTCGCGAATAAATATTTAACAAGCGCATAGACGTCCACGCAGTTCAATCGAATTTATCCATTTAATTCAGTTTTCCTAGTTCTCAAAGATGTAGGAAGCATCGTTTCGAATAAATATAGTAATATAATAATATACAATAAAAGAATGTGTATTTGATGTTACATGAATCTTTTCTTTTAAATCGAAACTTGAGATACGAAACTAGGAAAGAAAGAAGAAAATTTCGGAATGCTGACGATAGTTGTGCGTGTTGGTCTCTCTCGTTTTCTCTTTTCTTCTCGCAACTTGCGTAACACGCACGCACGCGACGCTGGCTGACCCACATGCATGATCTTTATTTAAACTTGTTTCCACTTCGTCGTCATTTACTATTCGTGACCACTCTTCCGTCGGTGAGTCATTATTCCTCGAAGTAAATCGTTCAAAATGGATAGAAAAAACGTAAGGTATTTTTTCTTTTCTTCAAAAAATCTATCCAGGTAAACAGGTATTTACTTCTTAATTAAAGTCAATTGATCAACATAATATTCTATAAAATATAGCCACTTCCATAAATATGTATTTATGTCGTTCCTCTTTCTATCTCTTTATTTAGCATAAGTTTACATACTAAAATGTAACAGCACTCTAGCAGATTGTGACGTTTCCGGCAAGAAAAATATTGGATCTTTTCGGTTTTCCCTCTAATATTGCTATCTCTCTGAAGAACGTCAAAGAAGAGAAATACATCAAAAATTATAGTAATTTCTTTAGGAGCAATCCGAGCGTGAAGGGGTAGAATCGTTTTCTTGCGAGTATTGTGGTAGTGGAAAGAAAAAAAAGAGTAAAAAATTGACGTGTGTGCGGGAAAAGAGAAAAGTCTCCCTCATATAGCACGTCTGAACAGACACAAATACCTGAATCATCCCGCGGGAAAAGTCGCATTTCGAAGGCGTGAAAATCATGAATTTACAGTGTCGCTTCTATGTTTTACTCCCAGGAGAAAGCGTTTCTCGACAACGTTGACTCGACAACGTTGACTCGACGACGTTAAGTTCGAAGGAAAACCCTATTGAAATTCGTTGTACAAGATATCAATTTGTTTTATTTGTTAGAATTACATAGTCCATATAATCATTTTCGCTTCTACGTGCGCTCGCCACGTTTTACTATTGCTCTCTCGGAAAGTCATTAATCAAATTCTGTCGAACAATAAAGAACAAGAAAAAAGTGGCAGGAAATAGAATATACTATACTAGAGTATATTATTTTTCCCTTTGATCCATTTAGTCGTTCACGCGTTTGTAAGATACCGTGAAGGAAAAGTTGGGCTAGGTATTAAGGGATTATTAAGAAACGCAAGCTCGTGCTCTCATAAGCACCTTTCATGGCGAGCAATTACCTACATATTTGATGGCCTCGAGCTTCGAGCAGAAGCAAACGCATTACCGTCACTCTTTTACCGACTTTCCTTCCACGCAACCAAATTATTTCCTACGTGTATTTTTCAATAATACCTATTTCTCAAAGAGCTATAGATATAATTTCGTTAAAAGACGGAACGGACTTTGTTGAAAAAAGAAATAAAACTTGGACGCGAATAAATGGAGGACCAGTTTCACTGATAAACGTCATTGACTGGACTTACCGAGTTAATGGCCGTCATGTTACTAACTCGAGTTGGATCTGTATCCACTAGCACGCTGTCACTCTGCAACAAAAACGATTACGTGTCAGGCTGATGATACAAGGATCGATTCTCTTATTACGATGTTACAATGATATAATGCGCTAGAATGTAATTATAATGGAACGGCGTTGACTCTAAAGATATAGAGAAGTCAGTGTTTGCATTTAATTGCATTTGCAATAGTCGTTGATAATTTGTTTTATATTTGGTAAGTTGTACGCTTTGACTGTCAGAAATTATCGAGATGGAAATTTTCAGTTCGCCGCGCGTCGGAAACGACGTTGGTAGTAGGTCCCGAGAATCACTCAAGCGTGTTTTCGAAAGGACGCCGAGACAAGAGGAAAAGAAAAAGCGAAAGAAGAAATGGTAGAAAGACGGTGTCGGTGGTGGTTGCGGTGTTGCTGGCGGAGAACCATAGAATCAAGGCGAAAGAGCCAACGTGCAAATGTCGTTCTGAACTTTGATCGTAAACCATCAACGGATTTCTCGGCTAGGTGGAGCGTCCATCTTGAATGTCTGCCAAATCGGTTATGCGCGAATACATTTCCGTGTCAAATTTTGAACAAGGTTAATGGGTGGTATCGTGGAAATGGCCCGATATCGTGGCCCGAATTTTGGGCACAATAACGAATACGAAAAAGGGAAAGTAGCTGAGAGACATACGAACGAGTCAAGAGTTCATTGCAGCCACTGTATTCACGTTTCTTCGCAAACGAACGGTACATATATGTTTAAAAATAAATGAAGTTATTCTTGTCAAATTGTATAATATAAATCATAGTATCGTTTGAGTCAATTTCTGCAAATAGAAATATCCGACGTTCATAGAAACTCGACGATTTTAACACGGATTGATTGATACACGACGGTTCTAATGACATTTCTAAAGTATAAAGTCGTTCGTGAAGTAGGAAGACGGTCAAAGTCAAAAGCTAAAGTGAAACGAGAAAGGCGTTCTACTGTAAATTACGAGTTTCAGGTAATTTACGAGAATGCGATGCTACTCGCGAAATCGCGTCGCCAGACACTTGTCGTCGAGAAATTTGCGAGGGTGCCCAACTCGCTCCATAGCTTTAAACGCTTAGTATTACAATTTATAACGATAAATAATCATATTGTGCTTTTATTTGTTCGTTAAATTATTATATTTTGCATTCCTGAATCTACTAAACATTGTATTCTAATAAAATGTAATAAAATATAAAATGAGATTGTTACTTTAAAAGAGTGTGTACGTTCGACGGCAAAGAAAATTCCGAAATTTTCGGTGAACCCCGCGAAAGTAATAAGGATCGAAATGAATGATACGACTATATTATATAACCGCATCTTTCTCGCTTCGATTTAGAAAATTTCGCGGACGAAACGACTGTGTCGTCACGTTTTCGATTATAGAAGCGGAAAAAGATGGATAAAAAGAGATAGAAAGCGAAGGCGACGCGTTCTACAAATGAAACTACACCGGATGATTGATGGACAACCAATTGTCAGCAAAGCTCCGAATAAACGCAGCCTCGGCGATAATTCACAGTTGAATTCTTGACACGAACCAGGGTCGTTAAAAATGCTGTACGACAGAAATCAGACGAAGATCTCCGAGCATCACCCCATATCGTTATATTAATATTGATAAATTATTATTCCTACGTCTTCCGTATCTATCCGCCATATTCCATAGTTGTTAGTTGGTAGTATTACTATTAGAAATTAGACTAGAAGCGGTATGAAAAATATTATACGCCTGAGTTCAATTAAAAAGTTATGTTTACGACGATGCAGTTATGGGACACGAAAAACTCGGAAAGAAAAAGAATGTCGCAAAGGTTCTCGGAAGTAAGGGAGTTGGAAAAAAAAGAGGTAAAAAAATAACAGGGCTTGTACAGTGGTGCTCGCGCAATGGGCTCGCGCAATGGGCTCGCGCAGTGGTGCTCGTACATCTGTCGAGAATGTAAAACCTAGTATTTGAATAATTCGCAAGAAGAGCCTTCGAAGGAAAAGAGTAGTGGAAACGGATGGCGAACGGGAAGTGACTTTTTGTGAAAATTCCTCGAATATAGCAGCCTTGGAAAACATTATCGAGGAGGTTAGCTAGATAGGAGGTTTACTAGACGAGGAAACGGAAGTCGAACGATTTTCGCGATACGCTGCTGTCCGCCGATATACTGCATAATTTACGGACTTGCTAATCGATAGCTCGTAGCTCTTGGAGCAACAAACGCTTATGTTATTCCTCCCGTTCTCTTCAATATTTATGTTTTGTCAGTGACTCAGCACGTAGGCACGACCACGCGTAAAAGCGGCGAGAGAAGGAGAACTTTTCGAGCGATTTGATAAGTAAACCGAATATAATTTTGCCCTATCTATTAAAATAAAGGAGAAAAAAATATCGCATTTATTGCAGCAAAGACTCGTTCACGTTTTCGTGTAGTACATATGCGTATACTTATCGACTCGCATTTATTATTAATCACGAACGGGATCTCGGAACTAATTTTCCTCCAGAGAGCAGATCGTAAACAGCGATGTCGGTGCATAAACGGTATCCGGAAGGGTAGACGTTAAACGGACCGAAAGACGTGGATGGTCGCCTACATATAGAACAACGGGACGTTAATATACCTACTGACTGAGACGAAAGCGGACTCGAGAGAACCATCCACGCGACGATGATACCAGACGAAAGCTCATTGTGATGCTAATAACGCATGCATAGAGTCATCGATCATCGCCCATTCCGCTTTCCGCTACTAAATCTTTCTTTCCTTGACATCCTCCGAGTCCTTTTCCTTTTGCATAGTAGATTTTAAAAAGACAGTAATCTCACAAGAGGGAAATATTACAAAATATGCTAAGTCTTAGCTCGTGATTTATTTCGACGATTCAAAATGAATCGAAAAACTAGTAAACTTTCAATAAACGAAATAAAGTTCATTTACAAGTGGCATATTAAAAGCAAAAGTTAAAAGCAATTCGCAGAATTAGTAAATTGCAGTAAATTCGCGGTGTACTCTGTAATAAAAAAAAAATTAAATCAAGCGGTGCGATAATTTCGTCGACGTGGCTAGGTAGTAGTTCGTCTGAAAAACCAGCCTTCATCTATCCAATCATAATTTAGTCACATTAATCCTATTTTTCCAATATTAACCGAAGCCTAGTTGAACTTGGAACATGTTTTTCTCTTGGATTATTTTTTCTAATTATATCTCGATAGATAAATCAACGGGCAGTGTTTATTTGTTGGATGTTTTGAGCTGTCGAGTCGAGAGACGATCGTGACAAAATACGTAGGACGAACATAGATAAATATGTAGGTAATAACGGATAGAGGGTTGGAGAAACGTTACTCGGAAGAGTCGACTCGAAGAAGGTGATAATATAGTGGACGTGGCAGCACATGTCCTCGCGATAACTCCGTACTTCTCTCTTAAATTTCCCAAGAGTATACTTCCGAACGTTTTACAGTCTCGCGCGCAGGAAGAAAACTCTGTGGTTCGTATTCGATGCGCGCGGCAACGATAGGTATGGACCAAGTTAGTTTTCGTCTTAGAATTTTTCCTTTTAAAATCCGAAATTCGAAGCCACCTCGAAAGTGGCAGGATAAGTTAGTATAGGAGGGAAGTTGACAGTCCGTGAAGACGTCTTGCGCTGTCGAGAATATCGTGACAAAACGCGCCACGGTCTAAGAAGAAAGATAATAGAACGCATAGAACGCATAGAATTGGCATCGAGGGCAAGGGAAGAGAGAAAAAGGATAAAGTTAAGAAGAAGTAAAATTGTGTGTGACTCTTCGTGGTATTTATACAAAGGTTGGAGTGTCGCCAAAATGCTAGACCGACCCTATCTATCGTCGGAACACAGCACACCTCTTCTCCCAATCTCTCGATCTCTTTTTTCCTTTTTCGCTTTTCTTCGCGCTATGGTAGAACCAAAAGCACACTCGAGCCACCGTTTACACCCCCAGCCTGCATATACCCCTATATATTCTGGATATATACCGAAGCATCGCAACTCCGGAGAAGCACTCGAACGGCTTTATTTGTCAACCACTTTGTGCCTATCGCTAAACTTACCAGTCAAAATTAAAGCTCTCTGATTGTTAGTCTAATGGCTAAAGTCATCATGGCGCCACCGCTGCTGCTTCTGACGTTGCTGACATTGCTGACGTTGCTGACGTTACTGACGTTTCTTCACTACTAATGGTATCGTTTGCCAATCGAATCGTCTACTACAATAATGGCTTTTCAACAGTTTCTTATACGCTTAGAGAGAATATTCAAAAATGAAACTAATAATCGATCGACGTTAAAAGTTTATTCTCAAAAATTGAGAAGATTTTGAACGACGATTGGACACAAAGCTTAAATGGATAAAATCAGGAGACACGATTTCGACCTACCTATTCGATCGTACGTTTCCCAGATGTTCTCGTCGATCTCAAAGTCACTCGGTTCCATAAATACAATGTAAGATGTCTATTTTTAATGCTGTACCGTAAGGGATGACCGTATGTCGCAACGCATCGCGTCGCATCGTTAAGGTTGCGTTTTACGCGGATTAAAGTAGGCCGACGTATTTTAAGAATTATCGAACGAACAAGCACACTCGATTGTGAAGCATCGAAGAAAGATCAAAAGTTGTCCTCGCGTGCCCTGGCAAAGAAGATCAATTTTATCTTGGAATGAATCAAATTGAAAACTTGTCAAATCGTAATATCAAAATGGTCGGAACGCGTAGAACGCGCGACTCGCGTAAATATGTCGGAGAAAACCGGTACTGTCTCATTAGCCAGAGATCGACCTAATTGCGAAAGAAAACGTCTGGCGCACGCGAATCGTTGTCTCAAGCACCACGGTTGCCGTCTGCCACTACCGTCTTTTCCATTTTCAACTCATACCGCTCTCTATTTATAGACATTTCGTCCAAGTGTAAGAGACTTTGTAGAGTTCAAACTCGAAGAATTAATGGATATACATCGCATGTGCAATGTTTAATGAACCAGCACCTGTTACTCGAAAGACATAATTTACCTTTGCAAAAAGGATTTTATTGTTAGTAGCCAAGGTTCCGTTCACATTTTTCACCACAACGAAGGATCGTTCTCCCTTAACGAAGACACGACACACGATAATTCGTAGAAGGGGCGAAAGATAGGGGGCCGACACCTAGGCAACTCTCTCTCTCTCTCTCTCTCTCTCTCTCTCTCTCTCTCTCCCTCTTTGTATACTCTCCCCCTCCTCTTGTTCTTCTTCGTTTCAGGATCGAGCCACGCGCGAACTCGGCCTGTTCGAGAGGCGCTGCCGGCGACGAAGGATGCAACGCACCTTTACATCTCTCATTCTCCTCTCGCTCGAGAAAACGTCTTATCACCGAGGATGCCAATAAAATCGAACTGTCGTATACTTCAAAGTTTTCTTTTTGTCAAGTTCCGAAATCGTTTATGAAACACGTTTATCGTACGAATCTTCCATGATGGCCGCCGGCCGACAACGACACGCGCGTCGCCAAATATTTCCCTCTCTCGATTATTGCGTACGAGAACGACAAAGTGAGGAAGGAGATGGGAGGGGAGAGAGGGAGAGAGAGAGAGAGAGAGAGAGAGAGAGAGAGAGAGAGAGAGAGAGAGAAAGATGCAAAGACGCGCGCGCGGTAGGAAGACGCGAGCAAAACTGACGACCGAGAGAGCGCCGCTATTTTCCGCGTGCACGCACGCACGCACGCACGCACGCACGTTTTGCTCTCTCTCCTCAGGGTTGCGTTGGGTTGCGTCGGGTTGCGTCGAGTTTCGTCGGGTTGCGTCGCGGCTGCGTTCTCCCCACTCTGGGACGCCCACCACCTGTGGTCTTCCACCCTCTTCCACCCTCTTCCACCCTCGAACCACCCTCGAACCACCCTCGAACCACCGCCTCTTACCACCTCCACGACGCTAGGTGCAACTCGCGCACACGCACCGCGCCGCCATCTTGTCACTCCTCTCTCCCTCTCCCTCTCCCTCCCCCCCTCTCTCTCTTTCCATCTCTTTTTCCTTTACATACTATATTTACCTGTCTCCTCCGAGCTTCTTTCCGTCTCTTTCTCTTATTTTCTTTTCAAGCCATGTCGAATTTTCACACAAATTTGAATGCTTCGATGTCTCCCCTTATCAACTTTGTGTCTCTCGTACACATGTATGCGTGTACATGTAAAAGTGAGACTTAAAGGTAAAAGACATCGAAAAGAAATTTACTCTATATAATGATTATATTGATTATTTTTAATATATTCAAATTATATACGGATGCACGTTGAAAAGACTAGTTATCGGGATGCGCGAGTAGTTTTCGTAGAAAAGTTGCTCAAACTCATAAAAGGGATAGTTTACATAAGTTGTAAAAATCATTGAACTTTATTATAAAAATAATTATTAAAGCGTATATTTGAAAGGTACACAAGGAATATAAAAATGTACAAAATTGTTAAAAAATAGATAATTCATTGCGACTCTTGCCATTGCCTTAATTTGCAATAAAAGAAGTAACATAAATTAAATAAATAATACGAACGACAAGAAGGAAAATAATATAAGCAGATTAAAGCAGCATTTTAATACTAAACTAATTAGTGTTAAATGCAACAAGAAAAAAGTATAAAGAGAGCGGAGAAGAGCACGTTTCCTTTTCTTTTTTATTTGTTAAAAGAGTCTAAGAACAGGCTGCTCCTCGAATTTCACGATGTCGATGCTGACAATGAAACGATCGCGTTACGTACGCAAATAAATGAAACTTTTGACGCGAGTCGATACTTGAAAGGTTTAACGTTACCGTTACACGAGCACGGGCTTTAAGAGAATGACATTGCGTTGATGATTTTCTTCCCAAGTCTTGGGATATTCTTTAGAGATAATTCGATCCCTCTGGCTTGCCACGCGTCGTCGTCCTACTTTATCGCCAAAGTAGACAGTTTTTTTAATACTTTACATAATCGTAATGATGGATTAAATCTAAAAAATTACAAACTAGCATGGACTCGAATGAAAATACATTTATTAAAACTACTATTTATATCCATTAAAGAAACAAAAGAGCATTTATGTTTATTTGACGAAGAAAATGTCAGAAAGCGTTACGCATTTTTTGGCAATCCTTCAAGAAACGAATACGGTAGAACCTTCGGATAGCGTCGTATTCAATTCTATAAATAGAATACTGTTTCATTCATCATGGATCATTTAGTAAAACCAACACGCGATCGCATTCACGCTCTCGGGAAAGGTTTCCAAAATTCGTTGGAGCTGATGAAGAGGAGGAGAGAGGGAGGGAAAAAAGAAGCTTACTAATTATTACCGTGGAAAAAAGCGTCGAGTTATAAGCTCGCAACCACGCGCAATCGTAGGTCTACCGTATAAAATGGTCTTCGATGCGAACCACGAATGCGTTTTGTAATTTTGCGCAAAGCTCGTTGTTATTCGATAGCCAATAAAGAAATCCGACGAGCTCGGGAGATTCCAAAGTGAAATCCAAAGAACGTTGCGGAAGCAGGATATTGAAAGGGAAGAAAAATAAGCATTCGAACGGGGAAGGATGTTGAGCCAACATAGAGCCACGTAGTCTACTGCTTCTCGACGCGGAGCCTTCTCGCCTGATGGACGGGCCTGTTATTACTGTCAGTCTAACGCTCCCTCTGCCCCTAACAAAATGTCGATCTTTTCATTCTCGCATGCTGCGCCATGTCAACTGCTACCAAGGAAGCGTTTTAACGAGAGATTATTGTTAACGACGATAACTTCAAAATATCTAGATGAAATACATACAATAGAAGTCTCTCGAATCAGGGGCTACATTAATGGACGAACTATTTTCCATCGGGGAACAAATCGAAAAAACTTTCAAAGCAAAGATCCATCCATTGCGAACGAAAGCAGGCCGGCCGGCCGTAGTTTTGTACTACCACCGTCGAGAGAGAGAGAGAAAGAGAGAGAGAGAGAGAGAGTACCTTTGCCAAATAACTTTTCTCTCGGACTTTCGAGTGCCATTTTCTAATTAACATTTGATAAAAAGCTTTTCATACTGTTACATCTACGTCATATACGCACGCGCTTACATTATTTGTACGTACTTGTGTGCGATATACCCACTAGAAAAGTAATTGGGTTATATCGAATAAGGATTTATCGCGTCGGGAATGAAAGCGGATTCGCGTGCTAGGAATATCTCTCGTTGTGCCGCGTTAAGTCGGTACCATCCAAAGGGATTCGAATCGCGGTGGTGGTGCGAATCGAATTAAAATTCCGCAGCATCGTTAGGAGAGTCGTCGGTACAAGGGAGCCTAGAGCACACATTGTCGGGAATGAGAATACCGAACACCGTATTCCGCGTGCTTGCGTGACTTTGCGAGTTTCAGGGTTGTTCCTAAGCCAAGCGCCAGCGCCTGCCCGCGGCGCTAAATTACTCTTTCTCACCCCAAACACTTACCCTCAAAAGCGCGCATTTCGTCCCGAAAAGTTCGGTATAATGAGCAAAAGCTACATCGATTTTTCTGACCTTCCACAATTCGCAAAATCTCCTTCCGCGCAGTCCTATTAATAACCGACGACTTGGGAAACTTTTCAAAAAAGCTCGATTACCAAGGAAGCAATAGTAACAACCTTTCTCTGTTTTTCTCTCCAGTTTGTAGGTAAGAAAGATCGATTCATCTAAAGGTAAAGGCTATCCGTTAACAGGACGGAATAGCCTCGAGGGAGAGATCCGAAAGCACGAATGCGCAGGGTGGCTGCTTCTCCGCGACGCCAACTCAGCCTTAAATTAATGCTCGTCCCTCGCAGTAACTTATCTCTCGACCCATTATATTATGGTCAACGATCACCATTCACCGACAAACGGCCAACTACTATTTCCCAACGAGATCTTCAAGATTTCCTTTCGTAACACATCAAAATACGTGCCAAGTACAGAGTTAGTTTTGCAAAATGAAACAATTAATGAATTATATTTGAAAAAATCCCAAGTACATCCTAAAAGTAGAGGTAAAAATGTCTTGATCTAAACTGTGCAGAGAGACAAGAACTATTTCTTACGTTAACGAACGTGAAAAAGTTCGATATGACGTTCGAGACGTCGATTTCCATTGTTACCTATATCTTTCTCTCGTGACTGGATTTTGAAACAGGATGGTACTGAAAAGGGTACTTTTTAGTTTGCTCGTTAAAATCTACGAACGTGATTCGTTGGAATCTCTTCGTTTACCGAGGAACGTCGTCAGTTGCGGAATACGATATTTCATCGAACGCTTTCTGTTTTTTCAATGATATTTGCCGAATGTGGTTAGTCGGATATTATTCCGATCGAAATTCGTCGGAACTACCAACCGTATTATTCGTTTGGATCATTTTGCGGTGGCTCGTAATTTCGACAAACTAATGATAATCCAAAATCTGCGATGATTAATGTACACGTTATTGTTAGGGTCTTTAATATACACAAATGGACGTCGAATATTTCCATTTGCGAACTTTAACGACGGTTGTTTACTATCATTCGCGATATTAATTTGCTTTCGGAAAGAAAAAAAAATAAGAGAGGAAAACTAAATAATGAAAACGCGCCTCTGGGAGTATTGGCTAATGCGGCCGAGGTGAGAGGAAAGGGAAAAACGTAGATCGATCGGTGGCTAAAGTTTTCGTCGCGTGGCTTGTTTTTCCGTGCTAATGCTTTGGGGTTGTTACGATAGATCTCGGCACATCCGTCCGTAACCACGTTTGCATTCCTTGGCCGACTGCCCGTAGCGGGCGTTTTCTACTCGGCGAATGCCTGATTCACCGAACTCGAACGCATGCCGCAGTGTGTTATATGCGAGACCACGTGGAATCGTTAAACTTCTTTTCTTAGAACGTTCGTCGAATAAAAAGGGTTTCTACGCGTATAGGATCGTTCGACGAATCAGAGTATCGAGCTAATTCGAATAAACTCGTGCGCGAATTAACTGTAAATATTAGCCGATTGTAGCGGGCGGTATAGAAGGAAAGTTCGCAATAGCAAACTTGATTGGGTTAATCGGTATTTCAGCGCGACGAACCTTCCCAACAGAGCAATAATCGTTTCACGGTCACTGTATCCGTGGAAATTGCGTTCCCGTTCCCGTTTCCGGTTAACTATAATTGCTGTCGTTCGTTATAAACGAAACTGTTGGTCGCAATGCGACCCTGCGTCGTCATTATTGCGGTTGACGTAAGAATAACGATTGCTCGTAATGCTTTTGAAAAGCGCGTTGATACCTTTGCGGCTACTTAAACGACAATCGCTGATAATTCTTGCATGACAGTGATCTTGAACGAAAGGCTCTCCAATTAGCGAATACGCTACGCGTCGGGTCACGTAGTATTACGGTGATAAACGCGCGCGGGCGTGTCCGATTATTTGCATCGTGACCTACTTTGCTTCCATTACACGTGCCGAACGCAATGACGACGTTAGTACTACTGCTGTGAGGTGGTATGATGCGATCGATCGAATCAGCTGCTCCTTTTGAATGCCGAAGAAACTTGTCGAGTAAAAGTAATGGCCAAGTCCTCGCTGCTGTGAAATTTCGTTGCCCCGCTAGCATCCGCCGAGTCGATGCCGATCGCGATGGGTTTTGGTGATAAAAAATGAAAAAAAAAAGAACAAATTCGGCATCGGTATAGTAGGAGCGAGAAGGGTAA